TAGATCGTCCCGCGTGACGCTGCAATCTAACGAAGGGAGCCAAAGCAGCAGAAGCCAAGCGCATCACTGAAGCCAAACAAAGACGCAACGTGCGCGAGTCTAGACCTGCCTCCACCACAAGTCCAACTGTCCAAGTCTGTGCCCACACTGCGGGCGAACCTTCTGAGCCCTGATATGACTATTCAGCCATCTCCAGACCCACAGTCACCGTCAACAGACCAATTTGTGAAGTCATGGTGGTCATCTCTGGAGCATGGATATGCGCTATATAAATGCAATTATTATTATTATATATTATTATCTTCACTAACGAAGGACAAACAAAACAAAAACAACAACAATATGTTTGTCTGAGTGTGTTGGGTGTGTGTTCCTTTGTATTTGTGTTTGTGAGAGCGCAAATGCGCCAGTGTGTTTGTGTTTGATTGATTGGTTCTATCTGTTTCACGCCTCCTTTGACAAAGTCTGGGTACAGTTATGATGCAGGCTGATACATCTTGTGCTAACGTGGGCAAGTGAGATACAGTATTCAAGCAAGAACACGAAGCTACAGGTTCAAATAGACTCCCTTATGTGGGGGGTTTAACTCATTTTTTCCTTTCTTTTTTTTTTCTTTTTTTTGGGGGGAGGGGGTGTTTTAGGGTGCTCGCTACTGCATAAGGACATATGAGCGCGCGGGACACATTAAACATTTTCAGTTGGGAGGAAATTTTGAATTTTGCCCAGGTGGCGGCCGAAGCCTACTCTTATCGATTTTAGACCCCCAAGGCATCTTTAACGTGCGAAACCTGCACACGAGACCTCCGAGATTTTTCGCCCTTGTCCGAGAAGGCTACGTAAAGATCTTTCCTACCAGAAGATCAGGGGTGTGGCTGAAAGACAGCAGTAAGAAGGAACCAAGGAGTATCAACAGAAAGGCTGCAGAAAGAGTCAGAAGCCCAGAGGATGGGGCAAAGGCTGTGAGGGGGTGGGGGCAGAAAGTGGAGACTAACGCAGACGACGGAGCATTACAAGAGAGCAGGAAAGGAGCTGAAAGGAGACAATTTTAGAGAAGAAACTTTTGAGTGGCTACCCGGATTCGAACCCTTGACCTTTGAATGAGAAGCAAACACATTAACCTCTAGGCTACGAGAGCCCCCCAACTCATGATTTTACGTCAAATGGAGCACTCCACTTTCTGCCCCCACCCCTTCACCTTCTTTGCCCCCTCTTCTGGGCTCCTGACTCTTCCTGCAGCCTTTCTCCTGCTTCTCATTGGCTCCTTCTTACTGCTGTCTTTCAGCCACACTCCTGATCTTATGGTACGTAATTTCTAACACCTAGCCTTTTCGGACAAGAGCGAAAAATATCCAAGGTCCCGTGTATGCAAGTTGCGCACGTTAAAGATCCCTTAGTGGTCGAAAATCGATAAGAGTAGGCTTTGGCCGCCACCTGTACAAAATTCAGAATTTCCTACCAACCGAAAATGTTTAGTGTGTCCCGCGCGCACATATGACCTTATGCAGTTGCGAGCGATGGAAAACACTTTACAAAAAAAAGTATCCTAGTAGTGGGGGATTTAAGTCTTGTCTTTTGCGTAAAATTAAGCAGATCTTGACCAATACGACAAGAATGCTCATGTGTGAGTCTGTCAATGTCCCGTGGATCATTTATGAGTAGAGAAATACGGGCTGCCCACTACAGCTGGATCGGGCCAATCACACGAGTCGGGCAATCGGCCGATCAGATCCCACCCGTAGTGGGCATCCCGTATTGCGGTATGGGACATATCGACTTGGCTACTCGCTGGTGAAAAGCAAAAACATGCGAAAGTTGCGATGAAAGGAGGGGAGGGAGAAGAGAACGGGGGAGGA